AAAAAATCTATCGGAATGTTGTATTGATTCGTTCGTATCTTTTGGTCAATTCTTGCCTCATCTTACGAATGAAAAATCAGTGGATACAACTTTTTGAGCAACGCATTTGAAGGATTTGATGGGTTACGCACACTGCGTTTTTGACATTTGAATAAATGCTCCCAATGGACATGTGATTGAATTTTGCATATACTTTATTGTCTTTTTTCGTTATTTGTTGGCTAATTTCATGTGGTACTAATCATTCTTCGTATTATTTCATTTATAACCAATTAACTCATTTCGATGGTATTCGTTGATAATTTGAATGAATTTCTCTCAATTTTTATTCATTTCAATGATGGAGAATTATTTATTTTTCTGATATGCAGAATGTGCTATTTGAAGATGTTCGAAACAAGTTAACGAAAAAAATTGAAAATTTGCTATATGGATTCGCAGCAATCACCAAAAAAATTCTTATTGACCAGATGATTATGGCTTTTGCTGTAACCGTTGTTATGACTGTAAAGAATGGGAAATTTTTTCAAGCGAGAACGAAAATGTTTTTGAAACTACAGTAGAATTCAAGTCGACTGGAGGAGTTTGCTGAACAAGATTATCGAGAACATGCATCAGCTATAGTCTTCGGAATTTTTGCGGATGGCTGAGAGTAAAGTCATCTCTCTAATCCTATGTCGCCGTCTGGCCTGCGCTTTTAACTAAAGCGTTCTGTAAGCTCTCCATATTAAGCAACCTAATCCAGTAACAACCAGTGACAAATCAAAATTTTTCAAACACTAGTTATATCTTGTTCTCTCACATAACTTAGATAATTTTGATGAGATTGTTTATTTACTCCATACATATCGTTAGCGTTCTAGTAAAACAGAAAACGAATCACTCCTTACAGATTCACAAAATTGACTGCATCATCACAATAAAAAGTATACAGTTGAAGCAATGAAATTCATCGATCACTTAATCGAACACCGTATAAATGTATCGTTTTGTACTCGGCGGTACGATACGTTTCCCGTCCTCGTCGTATTCATTCTCGGTCGATTCATCTGTGTACTCACTATCGTCCTCCCATTCCTCTCCGTAATCTCCGTCCGGTCTCGTCCGCGGTTGTTCATCAACACGTTGACCGGTTTGGACGCATTTATCCGCGCGACTCGGCCATGTTTGTGTTATTCTTCAAATTATGTCACCATTAACTTTATTACAGCTCACCGTAACTGAACACCTTCATTTGGGTCTGCATCTGCAGATGTTCTCCGAATAAATTGCAAGGAATGAAAAACTCTTTGCGGTCATCCATGATCACACCGGATTTCCTACCGTTTAGGTCAGAAAAATTACTGATCGTGAATCAATTTTTGCGAATGTTCCATTCGATCGGTTAAAACCTTCTCAGGAAATATCTCGTTGGTGTTTTACATCTATGTACTCGGTCTAATCAGTCGCATATTTGACATACACATACCTATTGATCATAGTACTTCGTTGTTTCCAACGATCGGCCAACAACTGCTTTTTATGCTCATCCATAGCTATGAAAATGAGTCGATCTTGGATTGGTTGTGCTTCACATAATCTGAAAATGATTCATTGGTCATTCATCGAATAGCTTTATGGATCGTTAAGGTTTTTTGACGAATTTCTATCCGATACGATGAATTGAAAGTGATTTCAGTGAAACTGATATAAGTTGATTTAAATCTATAGCTGAACACATGATAGATGGGAGAACATACGATAGACTCAACATATCTACCCTGACACTATCAATCATTCTCGTTTATCAATGACGTATAGTTTGGCAATAAATTATTGCCACATTCCAATGCAGTCAATCGAGAATATTGCTCGACGATGACTTTGCACCATCTCGAGTTATACGATTAGTTAAGAAATGATTTCACTTCGTTTATTTTATTTTCCGGTAGTCAAGGAGGGTCGTTGGCAGATAAGATTCAGTGATGGATCAAACGAGCTCTTACCGTTTGATACCCTCATTTTCATCGGTGATTATCGTCATAGTGGCGACATCTGGATCAATTTGTCGAATTCGATATTGACTATCGATTGATCGGATCATTCGATCGAATATGAGTCGAATTTTCGACTTAAATTAATTTCAGTTTTGTTTATTGTTACTGTCAAGCAAAGAAACATGAATACTTGAAAAAATAGGTGAGCACTCAGTTGAATACAAATCTTTCATCTTTAACGTTTGATAGAACGGAATTCTTTAAATAGGTTAATGCTTAATAAGAGGATGAAGCATCATCGCGTGATCTCAATTTCGCTGATCACTAAAGATCAAAAGCAGATGAACTGCTTCGGTTTCACTGGACAGTCTGATGGGATTTCACTTTGAGGCAATGCTTATCACAGATAAAGGAGCTTCTTTATAATCTCAGTGCAGTTTCATGAAAATTTGTTCGGTGTTACCATCAGCCTCACTATACATTCACATGTAACAATGAGTAACTTTCTGGAGTTAAATTGAGTGAAACTTTTCAAATACAACAAATGTTCTCAACCTGAACAATGGCGACACACAGACCCACAACTGAGAGTCCG